AAGGCCGAGTGAGCCATGTGGAGCTCTCTGGGTCCTTAAAGTCTCTGATAAGGTGCATTTATGTTAAAGAAGATGTATTACAAGAGTACGGTAGGGCAGGAGGACTAGTGGCCATAGTCAAAGGAGTAGTCTATCAGGCAGAAGCACAAGGTGAGGAGAAGGAAGAATCTGAGAGGTTTAATAGACAAGTAAACAAATATCAAACCCCTGCATGGTGATTGTATGAGGCATCTTCTCCAATGACTCTCAAACTGCCATCTATGCATTAAAAAGCAGCCACGTTGCACAGATAGACATTACCTTGCATGGCAGCAGAAGGACTTAGATTTGAATGGAGGAAACGCGTCTTTTTGATTTAATTAGGTAGATGGTTATATCTCCACTGTAAATTGCATTGAGTTGAATAAATGGCTTTGGCACCGCCTAAGGCTAAAAGATGCTTGACAACTAAAGTCATATAACAAGTGGTATAGTGTATTATTTTGCATCAATTCCTAACTATCGCTTGATTCTAGTTCTAAAGCCAGTCAGCGGTCCATCTGGATTTCCATTTCCCATGAAGGGCGTGGATAGGGAATGATCTGTTCGCAAATTCCATATATTTTCCTATGTAATTACAGCTGGTGTCTTTTATAACGAATCGTTTAGGCGTTTCGCAAGGCACGAGAGAGGAGCACCTGGCTAGAGGAGATGTGGACTTGAGAACCATTTTGTCTATATTCTGGTCCAAAGACTGCCCGGCATGGTAGCTTGCTCACCTGCAGACAGACAGATATCTTTCCGGTATCACAGAAGGCAGTGAGACAATGCCTTAAATGCAAGCCAATCACACAAGATTTTTCACTTCTCACAAATATGGGCCACCATATCGGTGGTATGGTGATCCGTTTATATCAATTTTGCCTATAGCTCACCGGTCCTGTAATTTTAAATTAGCGTGTGCTTTCCTAAGCATCCAGAGAGATGTTATTCTCCATATGAGTGTAAATGTACAAAACAGGTGATCTGTAGGCAGAATTGATATGAATGGAACACCATGCTACTGAAATGATGGCCCATATTTGTGAGAAGTCAGGATCATGTCTAATGAGCTTGCATTTGAGGCATCGTTTCGCCGCGTTCTGTGATATCTGGATGATATCGGTCCGTCTGCAGATGATCAAGATGCCTTGACGGGTAGTCTTTGGAACAGGGATCAAATCGCGGAGAGGATTGCTGCATTCCTATTCGAATTTTCATGGTGATTTACCGGCATGAGCTGTTTTGGCGACTACCTGACATTAGTGTGTCGAGAATGACTTAGTAATCGGACTTGTAATGAAGTCGCTGAACGTAACCATAGCAGCAATTTGTTTTCTTGACTTCCATTGCTTTGGTCTTCGTGCTCCAGATTGTGCCAATTTTATCCACGTGAGTTGTAGCTGCACGTGTAATTGCAGCAATGGTGATGGTTGTGCTGGTAGCGTTGTTGGTATTGGTGAAACACAATGGTGCCATTACACGAACAATGTTAGAACTTGTTCATTAAGCATTTTTCGGGTGTCTGCACTACCAGGTAAACTGGATAAAAGGTGTCTTTGCCAATGTGTTGAAGAGATAGGGGAGTGGTAGCATAAGTGGTGCCCTTGGTGTGTTCACCAAAGGGGGGCGAGAATCGCATTGTCTATCACGTAGTTGAAAAAAACTGCATTGGTATATTTGTAGTGCCGTCACCGTATTTATGGACGGATTCCAAGTCGATCACTTACTGACCGAAGGCAGTGACTCTAATTCAGGTGAAACTTAAAATACATTGGAAATGCAATATTTGTTAATGAAAGGTGAAATGACCGATTAGTGAGATCCATTGCTCACCAATCAACACAACAAATATCTCCGTAATCTACCGCTCATTTACTTTAAACACTTTTGTTAACTTTGACAGCATGACTCAAATCGCCACATTATGTACATCCTCACATTTTAACTCCTTAAAATCTACATATTCCATCTGCCCAATAGACTATCGTTTAAAAGGAGAAAAAGGAAGTGTTATTAAAATTGTTGTCACAACCCCTCTACCAGAAGTATGTCCAGGATTCTAGATTCACACCAAAGATACAAGTTTGAATTTTCATCAAATGCAGAATTTTAGAAGCTTTGCAACCTTTTTATCATGAGTCAGTTGGGTAAAATATTTGTTGGAAGCGTGCATATCACGTATTTCAATCCTATCAGCGTTCTTCCTTAAGGTGGGTCTGCCGCTACGCTCGGTAATCCATCGCTAAGCAATGCAATTAAAGATACCTCATTCTCAAATGAGACCAATACAAATGCTACACCGATATGTCTCTCATCACCCGGGGATGATAAGCGCAAGCATTCGCCCATGTTTTGTGGTCATAGGTTACTCATTATCCTGAAGAGAAGTAAAGTTGCTGTAGCATAATGCCTGCCCTAACCTTTTGGCAAGTAGCTCAAATTAGTTGCATTTTACAGATAGACAGTTGGTCTCACTGAACCCTTAAATTTGGAATTAAAATCTCTTAATGTCTACTCCAGCACCTTACTCAAAATCGGATTTACAAGCTAAAATCCTACCTTGCCTTATGTACCTATGCATCGACTGAATGAGTTAAAATAGATAGTTTGCAAGTATTAGCTGACTTGACTTGGTCGCTTT